TTCAACCAAACCATTTCTGTGAATATATATGGAAAGAGAATATTCTTTTTTTTTTGAAAGGCAAATAGGAATTCATATCTAAGAGGAAAATAATTAATCTGGACACATAAAAGCCACATTTCCCATAGATCGCATCTCTCTGAAGAGAAGAATACCTAAAAATGTTTAGATTTACAAGGTAGAAGTTATATTCGTCTTTCCGTCAGTCTTTCGATATACACAAACAGTAAGACCAATTTAATTTTTTCTCTTCCATAAATATTTATTATTTCAAATCTGTTCAACCTCCTTCAAAGTAATCAAGTTCAAATAATATTCCTTGCTAAGAGTTTGAAATATGTTTGCGCCTAATTTAATTTGAATATTGGTCATAATTTTTGGCCACGGCATTACATAACAACCATAGCTTTAGAAATTCGTATCTTCTTTTTATATTCTACGCCACTTGTGGTACTGGGTGCATTAAATTAGTGCGGACGTATGTAACACGCAAAAGGGCTTAAAGAGCTTTTATTATACGGATCGATTCATCGATCGATCTGTGCCCCATCTGTGCCCACGTCGAAATTTTTGAGATATTTATATGAAATCGGGTACAGTGATGTGTTTTGGCCCAAGGACGAACGCTATTTAAAATGGTTCGGATTGGTTCAGCTTTTCGACCACTTCCCATATAACGCTCTATTCTGAAAAGTCGTTGTATGGAAAAAAATTCCAATTTTCAAAACTTCTCGGGAAAAATGGTTAAGTAGTAACATTTCGGCATTCTAAATTTGTATGAAAACTTTGGACTGGATGGGGCAACTTTTGAACCTCCTCTCATGTAACGAAAACTAAAGTTCATATGACAAAAAAGTATAATTTTCAATACTTCGTGATGAGAATTTTATCATAATAGTAATTTAACATAAAAAAATTAACTGTACCAAATTTGGACCATCTCGGCTTCTTTTTGGATCCGAATAAGCGTTTTAATGAAAATTGATCCCTTGTAGAGAACAAAAGTCTAAGTTTTAATATGTGGTGACGAAAATCAACCCATAATAGCAATTTCCTACAAAAATGAACTCCAAAAAATTTGAAGCTTTTAAGTCTATTTTTGGATCCTGCCCTATGTAAGAATTAAACTTATACTCTATTAAGTTTCGTTTTAGCCCACTTCCCTAAAAGTGCATTTTTGTGTTCTATAATAAAAATAAGAATTGTGTTAGATATTGTGGTGCAGGGTGTTAAATGGTCGGTCTTCCCCTAATATAATATTCTTAATTTGTGTTTGAAGTTATTTTCATTTACCCCATGGAAGGATGAAAGAAGGAGAGTCCCTTCAGCATGAAATTCTGAATGGATTTAAGCTTGCTCGTCTGTACGTCTATTGTAAACATTCTGTTGCCTGCAAAAATCATGTTATCGACTTCAAATTTGGCAGAAACATTGGAAGCTCTTACATACAAGTTAATATCGAAATGGTCCAAATCGGTAGAAGAACACGGCGAAGAGTGCACGTAAACTGAGAACACCTCCGTTTTCCAAAAGGAATAACGAATTGGTCTTTTGCTCATTACTCATAGACTACACCAGATAAATCTACAAAAATTTGAACGTACGTGTTTTACGGACGATGCTGTAGTAGTTGGAAAAATTGACACGCCCCCAATATTATAATATATAAAATCGCGTTTTTTTTTCGTTACCTTTATAACATGCAGAAGTAAGACTCAATTTCAAGTTTGGAATGCACCTAAGCAGGTCCATCTGTACATCTGCCTGTCTGCCCAACTGTATAGTATCTGTGATAGGCATTCCGTCATTCGCTGAAGTGAAAATAACGCCTACAAATTCCAAAGGCTTTGAAAATATCTAATATCCGTCAAAGGACACGCCTACGCAACGAAAAATGTAAACACCTTCCCTTTCCGTGTGCTTGGTTAGTTACTCACAATGTACAACACAATTGCTCTAAAAAATGTAATTCTTTTGCTTTTCTTTTTTAATTTTTTTTAGGGTATAAAAGATTCTATGACGACCAAATATCGTTATCTTGCTTGTTTAAAATTCAAAACTTTTCGGGAAATAACCGAAGAATAAGAGAAATGAATTCTTTTAATTTTTCGTTTAAAACTTTAAAGCAATTTATTACTCAGCGTGCGTGTAAAGGACAAAGATTGAAAAATTACTTTGTGAACATAAACGGTTTTTACTAAAAGCGTGAAATTTGTGGTAAGATACACACACATCAATACAATTTTGTAAAGCGTAAAAAGAAAAAAAGAAAAACTACTCACTTATGCATATTTTCTTCTTCTGCATGCAAACTTAAATAAAGAAAATTTCAAAAATTTTTGTGAAACCTACGGAAAAAACAGAACAATAAGAACAATTAAATAAGAAATTTTTTTTGCTAGCCTAATTCAAATTTACTTTTCCCCAAATCCAAGATTAATTATTATAATAACGCAACGATGTATATCATATATAATACGCAGCAATATATATAATACAAATATATTTTAAAAAAATATAAAAAATATATAAAAAAAAAAATTAGTAATATTACGACAAAGTAATTATCAACTTCATCGGCCCCCGTCGATCAATTGCCCATTAAAATATTTTACTGATTACTGATTATGGGTTAACGCGGTTGCTTGAATAGCACGGTAGCTTGTTGGAACACTGTGATGCACACATTAAAAGACGACTTTTATCGGATATGAATTTACTATATATGGCCCATAACAACATTTCAAAATCCTCTCAATTCTGAGAGATACACGTAGATTTAAAAATAGTTTCACAAGTCATTTTAAGTAACTTTTTTTGCATTTTTAAGGATCTTTATATATATATATATATACATATATAAACATACATATATATATTTAATATGACTTAAAACTTACCTCGTGCTTTTTAAAGGCAAAAAATAGTGTTCCGCAGATGAATGCTTTTACTACCCGTAGTCGTAATTAACTAAAACTTGGCTAAACTTTATTTACAGTCTACAGTTCTTAAAATATCCTTTTCTAACTTTAAATACTATCAAGGTTAAATCCATTAATTAAATAACTTGTCTAATATCCATTCTCTATGTCTTGCTTAACAATTTCAGCACAAAATAATTTTCTCATTTTCCTAACGTCATAGAGATGGCAAAGCCTTGATAACAATTACAATAAGTAATGCATACAATTTATAAAGCGAATGCGTGCGAATGAAAATAAAAATATTACAAAAGCCTTTTTTTCTTTTCTTTTTTAAGAACGTTATTAATATTATTTTATGCACTCACTTAAATTGATTTTTAAATAACATGAATAGCATAACGCACTCATCATCAGAATAAAAGAATCAAAGTTCGTTGACGATTATCAGCCATTATGAGATTTTGTCTGCGATTCAATCAAAATGAAAATTTCATTTATTCAAGCCACAGCAAAAACAAAATTCTTCTACAGTATATAGGTTATCTTTTAATTATTTTATTTCAACCAATCACCGATCGGCCAACTAAAGGTCTTACACAATGATTGCGTTATGCGTCAGCTACAAATCAGTTGACGGCATAGCTTGCATACGTTGCTAAAACAAAATGATATGGTTGGCGTTTGTTTGTATAAACATTAACGAAGAAGTGTAATAACAATAAAGGGAAAAATTCCTTTTAAAGCAATTTTTTAAAGAAAAAGGAGAAAGAAAAGAGAATAAGTGAATTTTCTCAATTTAATTCAATTTTTGCTTCCTTGCTGTTTTTTTGTTTAAATGAAATGTTTTTAATAAATGCCAGCAACCACTGTGAACACTGTAGCATTAACCTGTTCAAATAAAAGATATTTTCGAACCCTCTGTTTATCTTTAATGTTCTCTTAATCTCTATTTTGCAAATTTTACACTTGTAAGGGAAGGATCGCTCTCTTACGTTTATGTATATACCATAGTTACACTCATTCTACTTACATTACTTATATTTATTACTCTTGCGCTTGTACATATCCGCATACTTAAATGCATCTGATAAAAACTTGTAATATTTACCTACACTTACATATACATACATTTCTATATGTGTTCCTTCTTGAATTTCCCATCTATTCTATAATACTCTAATAGACATATGCTCTCATACTCATAATTCACGTGTATTACTGACCTCACATGCTAGGATAATTGTATAAGACGCCTCCCTTCAAATTTGCAAAGTATACAATAAATCCATTTTGTGTGCACATAAACATATACGCACAGTGCGGTTGGATATTAAAACCAGGTTGTGCTGCTGACGTCATGGAAATTCTCCTAAATCTCCTTGACAACAGCAAAATGCATATGGGGAGAGACACACTTACCGTTAAGCTCTCTGTTTACTAATACACAACATTGCGAATCAGCAAGTCACCTCAAGTTTTCTCTCTCTCTCTCTCTCTCTCTCTCTCTCTCTCTCTCTCTCTCTCTCAGTGTGGTGAATCGACAGCTATAAAAGCAGCGTGGGCCACCGATCAGTCTTTTATTGTTCAATGGCAGTCGAGCACAAAAGGTAAGCAACCAATCTTATTCCTTCAGAACGATGACGATTGGCTGTTCCCTAAAATAGGACTGTAATCATTCTTCGGAATGAAGGATATGCCCTATTATTCCTTCAGAACGTTGATGATTGGCTGTTCCCTGAAATAGGACTGTCAATCATCCGTCAGTCTGAAGGATATGCCCTATTATTCCTTCAGAACGTTGATGATTGGCTGTTCCCTAAAATAGGACTGTAATCATTCTTCGGACTGAAGGGTATATCTCTGGAGTAAGCTGGAGTGACTGTACGCTGAACAATACCTACGTTCATTGCAGATTAAACATACAGTAATTCCTCAAACGGTATTTTTTTCGGTAATTAGAACAGCGCTTCATAGCAATTTTTACGGGGTCGGCAAGCAAAACGCACATGTATCATTCCCTATGTAATTATTATATTCAGCAATATAAACCAAAATCGAGATTCCTAAAATAAAACAATCAAATCAGGTAACAAAGAAAAGGTCTTTCGAAATAATAAATTTTTCTTGCAACGAGAGCCTGGGAGTAGCCCCCGGCTACAGAAAGGAGAATCCTGAAGTGAGATTGCTACCACTACAGATGTGAAAATTGGAAATTAGCGGAGACCACGTTTGTAGTCGTATTAGAAATTTATTAGAACCATGTCCGAACGATAGGCATTTACTAATTTTGACATACTTACTCAATTTTCTACAAAAATTGGCAGAGATTTGAAAAGTTCATCTCCAATTTATGTGCACGGATCAAGCTACAATTTGTATTGTGCTTACGTTTATCGGCCAGCATCAAACAGCCTCAAAGCAAATATAGTTTTCCTATCCGCCTGAGCAAACGAGTAAGAAAGAACCGCTACTACGAAGTCAGTGTTCGAGAGTTCAAATCTCAAGCGCGGTAAAGTTTTCTTCAATGGTTCCCTATAGTGAGTGGTCGGTTGATAAAGGCAATATCGATGCGGCGCACACCTGCTGGATTACGGCTGCCATTTCCCTATCTCTTTTTCTTTGCTGCTCTTCTTTATGACCATCACCGTATTATACTAATAGGGGGAGTCCCCTAAATGATTGATCACAGTAAAAAAAAAAAAGAAATATTACTTTTTCTAAGAAATCTTATATATTTCTTTTCATATGCTATTTAATAAAAAGACTTAATTTTACAAGGCAAAGAGAGTTATAGTCGAAGATCACAAGCTCAAATTCTAATCTTAAAAATAAACAAAAGCGGAACAAGCAAGAAACAAGTATTGGAACAATCTTTCTCATAACTGAATTTATGTCTTCTTATTCTTGTTTACAATCGTTAAATCAATGCATCGTTCTATGATCTTGGCAACTCTGCGACCAATTTACTTAAATGAGAAAAAGAAACACAAAAAGAGAAGGGAAAAAAATACTTTTGTGAAATGGTGCAGCAACACCCGTTTAATATTTGAAAAAATTAAAAAAATCAAGCAAATTTTAAAAAGTAAAAATTTTCGTATTTTGGAAAAGAAAAAGGAAAATATCTATTTTATTTGCGTAATAAGTGAAAATCAATTGCAATACTAATGTCAATAACCGTAAGTGATTGAGCAAAGAAAGACTCTGCGGAAAAGAGAAATGACTTAAAGCAAATTGTGTGCGGACAAAGTGGAAAAATTATGAATAAGTGATGAAATTTTTTCGTCATTAAACTATTTATTTCGATTATTTAGTATCAATTGAATATTGGGAACATTTAACTAACAATATCATATAAATCTAAATTGAAAATAATAAACAATTCCTTCGACCTCACACGTTAAAAAATTGTGACGTAAAGACGACATTTGAGAATGGTCGTTATTGTCTTACATTAGCTTCTGAAATTTGTAAATGAAATGAAAGGGGGAAGAAAAAACAATAATAATATAGTCTTATACAAATTAGCCATAAGTAACACACATATATAGGTATATGTTAAAATTATTCAGTTTAAAGGCGCTGAAAGAAATTAAATAAACTACTGTTACACAAATGTATTTTGAACAGTTATTGCGAGGTGGCAAACAAAAGACAAAATCTTGCGTGGGAATGACCGTAATGGCCAAGACTTCAATTGCAGAAATATGTGAAAATGCTAAATTGGCACGCGACATGGCCCTAACCGGTAATTATGATTCTGCTTCCATTTATTATGAAGGCCTGCAAGGTATGTTAGCACGAATGATCAGTTCAACGGCCGACCCGCTTAGAAAAGGCAAATGGACTATGGTAAGCACAGCAAATTCCCAATAATAGAATATTAATTTTAACTTGATTGCATGTGTTTACTTATAGATTAAACAACAAATCACTAAGGAATATTCACAGATAAAAGATATTCAACGTACGTTGTCTGAAATGACGTTAGATTTACAAACATCTCAATTCGCTTCGAAATTTAAAAGTCAAACTAGTGAAATGGAAACAAAAGACCCGGCATCTTGGTTTAAACCAGATCCGGATATCTGGACGCCGCCGCCAAAAGATCCAGATGTTTGGGGACCACCGCGACCTGAAAAGTAAGTTATTATGCAATATGCGCAAGAAAAAACAAACTATTAATGATCACATAATTAGACCGATTATACCAAATCGCAACCGTAATATAACGGGCAAGAAAGGTTCAGCAACAGCAAAAAGTTCTACATCTAATCGGGGCAGTGTTGTGGGGGTAAATAATGGTCCCAGTAGAAAGTCCACAAATATGGTTTCTTCAGCGCGATCAACTGTTGTCAACGGCAGCAGTCGTGGCTTAGGAACAAACCGTAAATCCATCGTAAGCGGAGCAAATTCGGCCTCCTCTAATAAAGACGACAATAGTTCAAATAAAGATAATGATGAAATTAGAGATGATGAATCTCCAGAGCAAGATGATAAAGAAGAAAAAAAATTTCAACCCAGCAGTCACATTGAAGCCGAATTAGTTGATATTTTAGGTGAGGCTTAGACCTGGCTAAGCAAGGTACGGAAATATATATTTTATTCTTGTTTTGCTTTCAGAGCGCGATATTTTACAACGTAACCCAAAGGTGCGCTGGAATGACATTGCCGACTTAATGGATGCAAAGCGTTTATTAGAAGAGGCTGTTGTTTTACCAATGCTTATGCCAGACTATTTTAAGGTACGTTTATGCTAAAAATTGCGTATATTTCATTAATCTACTTTAATTGCACAGCCTCTCAAATCTAGTATTTTTTTTTTTTTTTATACTCGTCGCTATTTGAGAGGGAAGCACAAAGAAATAGGCATCACGTTCATATACTATGTGCAGTGATTCTGTTGAATAGTGGAATGAATTTTATGTTCTTTCAAATTCAGGTGGTCTGGTTAATATTAATGCCAGCAAAAGTAAAGCCGTTCATGTATATACGGCGGATATATCTGAATTAATTTAGAAATACCTCAAGTTATGTCATTAAAGCGCGTTGTCTCAAATTTCCATTCAAATATTGCAAAGAATTTTGTTGAGTGTGGATAGCGATGAGAATAACTTACACACTAGATGAGCAGGAAATAATTGCCGTAGTTATTGGGATAATGTCCGTTGTTAAGAAAGAATTCATGCATTACTCATATCTGCCCTTGTATTGAATTTTTAGATGAGTTAAATTATTCGTCTTCGGTCTTCGGTCATACGTTACAATTTTTTGCCTATTATAGTTATATACGTCCTTGCCTTTGTCCTGCCTTTACCCCTTCAGATTACGTCATTAGAATCCCCCGACTCCCCTAAGCGTCCCAAGCACCGGTGTATGGACAGACGGACAGAAGTTATGTTAATCAAAAGTGTAGGCCCCTTATGGCACTTTCAAGTTTATTTCCGATTGCTACTGACAATGGCAACGATGTATTACAGTCACACTCCCATCATAACCTTCAGTTATAGTAAATTAAATAAGTAAAGATTCCGCATTCAAAATACATGTTTTTATTTATAGGGTATACGTAGACCATGGAAAGGTGTGCTGATGGTAGGTCCCCCAGGCACTGGAAAAACGATGCTAGCGAAAGCCGTGGCCACTGAGTGCGGCACCACATTCTTCAATGTATCCTCATCGACGTTAACTTCCAAATATCGTGGCGAATCGGAAAAAATGGTACGCTTACTATTCGAAATGGCACGTTTTTATGCGCCCAGTACCATTTTCATCGATGAAATCGATTCGCTGTGCTCACGTCGTGGCTCCGAATCTGAGCATGAAGCTTCGCGACGTGTTAAATCTGAATTACTGGTACAAATGGATGGTGTTGGCAGCGAGGAGGCAAATAAAGTCGTAATGGTTTTAGCTGCTACGAACTTTCCATGGGACATTGATGAGGCTTTAAGAAGACGTTTAGAAAAACGTATTTATATACCTTTACCTTCGGACGAGGGACGAGAAGCGTTATTAAAAATCAATCTAAGAGAAGTTAAAATAGATGAGAGCGTAAATTTATCAGTGATTGCCAAAAAACTAGAAGGCTATTCAGGCGCAGATATCACTAATGTTTGCAGGTAAGCGCGATCAACAAAAGTTATATACAGTAAACCACAACTTTGCATAACATTTTGATATCATTTTCTTTTTTGTTTTATTTTTTTTAGAGATGCTAGCATGATGTCTATGCGCCGTCGAATTGCTGGTCTTACTCCCGAAGAGATACGACAACTGGCCAAAGAGGAAGTGGATTTGCCAGTTTCGAATCAAGACTTTTCTGAAGCGATTAGTCGTTGCAATAAAAGCGTATCACGGGCTGATTTGGAAAAATATGAAAAATGGATGGCTGAATTTGGATCATCATGATGTCCTTACATCGTCAATCAGCGACGTATGCTGCTGTAAATGTATAGCAGTCGGTCGGTCTTGTGTGAAGGTTTTTACTTCCCTTCATTTCTTCAGTTAATTTGCAAATAATTTCATTCGCTTTCCCCTAAGCAAAATATTAAACATTAACTGTGGAAACCTTAGCCAAGCTAAATATTAAATTAGAAAAAAAAAAAAGAAAAAAGGAAAAAAGACACATTTTCACCAAGTGATTAATTCGCAGCAATAACTCATTAAAAGCATTTCTTTTACATTTACTTATAAAAACCATTATTGTAGCTAAGAAACAAAAAAGGTATACAATGGAACAAATTAACACTAACTACAAACGTACGATATAAGCAAAAGCAATAACAACTGTCATCATGATCAACATCAACACCATTGTTCACTGTTAAAAATTTAATAACTTTTCAGTTGATTGAACAATGAAAATTGTAAACCGATTTTTGCTTTGTTTTAATATTATTTCAATCGAATCATTTTTGCCGTTTAGGTTTGTTTTCTGTTTATCTAATTTTGTATAATTCATTCTATTAAAAGTTTAGTTTTTATTTATAAATTTAAGTCATAAAATATGATGAGGAGTAAAAGTAACTACATTTTAGCATTGAAAATAAATTTAAATAATTTTTTTATCCTAAGTTATTGTTGTTTCATTGCTATGCTCGTTTTGTAGACCTCAAAAATCATCTTGATCAACGTGATTAGCGTGAATAGTGAAATTGGTTTATGATTACTATTACACGTCACACCCAATCTCCTCCCCTCCCCCCGCACACAACCAACCGACAAGCTAAGTTCAAAATTCAATTAAATCGATTCATAGTTAATGACAAGTCATTTATTTGAAATCGCCTCGCTTTTCCTGTTCATTCCTTCGATATGTCCTCTCCTCGCCGTCGATATAGCCTTCTTTCACCACATTTGACATCAACGCTCGATGCAGCTTTTAAATATTTAACCATTATGTCGTCAAAATTACGCCTTATTTTGGATAGTTTTAGGTAAAAACAACTAATAACATTATAGTCGGGCGTGGATGACGATTAAATACCATACAACACTTCCCCTAGTAAAATTCTTCACTCATTTTCGTGATGGAAGATGGGTTGTGACTTGTTTCCATACAAAAGCATACTTTTCATGCGAGTCCATATATGAAAGAGGGCCTAACACGTGGATTGGCGTAGTCCAAAGTGATCAAAATTAATCTTCCTGCCGAAGGTTTTGATCACCTATTCTCTTCATAGGTATTAAAAGAGTAAGACTTTCTTGAATTATAAAAGCTTACTTTTCATAAGTACCCTTATATAGGATAAGTGCTGAAATGTAGACCTTTATGGTCCCACTTTGATATAATTCACTATTAACTCACTGTTACGCGTCTTTCATTTACAAATATTGAAAAGTATACATTTTTGTGTCGTAGAAAGGTTTATTTTTCAAGAGAAAAAGAAGCGAACAAAAAGTTTATTACGATGATTCAGATTGGATTGGATTGATTTTTATGTCAAACTGCTATTACGAATCAATGCTCATTGTCTTAAATTTAGACCACATACTTGCTTAGATCATTGCTTGCTTGTTGCACAATTTGCAGACTTGCTTCTCGTAGAAACCCCTGTCCAGGAGGGGGTTCAAAACTTTGGTTCATTCAATTCAAATTTTCTACGTCAAAATAATAATAAACTAGAATATGAGTATAAATTGAGATTTCTTTTTTTTATACAACAACCTTTTCAAAATTAGGTGAGCCGACACATATTAGTAGAATTTCATCAAAAAATCTTGAAAAGTGCAATCAACACAAAATACATTAACAGCAAATCACACGAACAGCCATACTTAAACCAATCAAGCAAATGAGTGCATAGCAAATGACTGCATTCCTGGAAAGTACTGTATACACAAAATCCACGATCTAGTGATACGAATCGTATCCGAGAAAAGCGAATTTCGCAATATTTGGTTGTTTTTTATTTCGCTATAAATCGTAGCAAATACAATTTTAGCGAAGATACAACCCTTAACAATGTGGGTTGGTTTGATGGGCTATCTTCGCTTTGGTAAAAATCTGATAGAAAATCATTGCGTTTTTCTTGGCGAAAGAAATTTCATCGACTTTTTAATAATTATTTCAAAATGGTCGGATTTGTTGAATAAGAGATTGAATGAATATTCAAATGCAAAATTTTATTCTCAGGAATCTCCAAAAAGGGGCATTCAAAAGAATATACAGCAAAATAAATTTTAAAAAACATTAGCGTAGTGCTGCCAAATATCGTAAGTTTTTACTACAAACCAGCGATTTACTTTCCATTAAGTTACGGCGATTTACTTCACAGATACTGTTTTCATTTTATAACGCATAGTTACAGGCTTTCTAAATACCATTTCGAATTTCATAACTTGAGAGAGTAAGTAAATGAGCAAATTTCGAATTTCACAACTTGAGAGAGTAAGTAAATGAGCAAATTTCGAATTTCACAACTTGAGAAAGTAAGTAAATGAACGACCACATGTTAGAATGTAAATATTGGAAATATTTGTTCTCCTTTCTCCGCATTACATAAAAATAAATAAAAATACATGTGCATAAAAAAAAATACGAAATTTTTAATGATGATGAAATGGTAAATTATACGCTATAACAGAAGGGTGCTTCAGCGATTTACACAACAAATTATACACCATAAAAATCTATCGATGAAAAAATGTATGGGGTTTTTTTAAATATTAGCCTTTATTATCAAAATTTAAATGTTTTTTTATTATTTTTCTGAAAGCAACGTGCTCCTCAAATTTTATTAATACAACCTGCACGTTCATTCATCAATATATGTCCCTGTATTATAGAATATATAAAATATGTAACAGCCAAAGGTGATTAAGACAGACTACCCTTTTTTCATACCAATCGAAGCTTGCCTGTCTGTGCGAGGTCTGTCTATACGATCTTGTGTTCAACCTACAGGTTTTGAGATATTTTAATAAAATCTGTATATACTCACGTGCTTTTAATTAATAACGAATGATCTTGAAAATGTTTCGGCTCGGTCAACGTTCTCGACCACCGGCTGTATAACGTCGTATTTTAAAAAGTCATCAAATGACAAAGGATTGGAATTTTCAAAATTTTTCAACAAAACTCGCTGAGTAATCCATATTTCGACACCCTATGTTGATATGAAAAATTTAGTTCGGCTGGGACAATATTTTGAAACCCCTTCATGAAACTGTTCTTGCGAAAGCTGAAGCTTTAAATGCAAAAAGGTGTAATTTTCAATAATTCATGATGAAAATTTCGTCATAGTAGTAAATTTTCAAAGAAGTCAACATTACCGAATGTGGACCATGTAGTTCCACATTTTTTAACTATTACCGCATATGAGAATTTTCAACAAATGCAAAGCTTTATATGCCAAAAAGTCTTAACTTAATGTTAATGTTTTACGACGAAAATTTATTCATGATGGTGATTTAGCATAAGAATCAAGTGGACCCAATTTAAACCACATGGATCTAATTCTTGGTCTACCCACTCCTTATAAGATATACGAGATTCGGCTCCAACCGAATATAACTTTTACTTTTTTTGTAATAACTTTAAATAAATTTAGTAGAAAAAATCCAAAAAATAGATCGAGATAGTCCAAATTTGGTACAGTTAATTTTTTATGTTAAAATACTCATCAAGAGGCATTGAAAATTATATATTGTACGAACTCTAGGTTACGTTATAAGAGTGGGAGTTCAAAAGTTGGCTACTCCGACCAATCCAAAGTTTTCGTACCAATTTAGAATTCCGAAATGCTACTACTTAGTCAGTTTTGTCGAGAAATTTTGAAAATTTGCAATTTTCCTCCACATAACGACTTTTCAGAAAATTGGACCGATCCGAAGAATTTTCTAGAATTTTTTTTTTGTATCAATTTTCATCAAAATATTTCAAAAATTTCGACCTGTAGCTTGAACACAAACTTAGCTGCACCGATATCAGATGGAGAGAAGGACAGACAGACTTAGATCTATTCAGATTATGATTCTGAATCGATCGGTAGAATAAAAAATGGGTCTACCTTAAGCCCTTCTGCGTGTTACGTACGATCGCACTAATTTAATAATACCCCATACCGCAAGTGGTGTAGAGTATAACTACGATTAAGTCAAAAGCAATTGATGAAACACTTAAATTTTACATTTGGAATATTGGCATTTTAAAATTTTGTGATTTCAGCACACTTTTGGACCAAAGGCGATTTAAACCTTACCATAAAACTTGAGTGTATTGATGAAATATTTTAAATTTGGCAGATATTTTTTTGTTCTTTGGGATGGATTTCGGTTTAAAGCGCTTTCTTTTTTTCCATCTGCAAAAATTGTTATTAGGTAGAACATCGCGAATCGAAAATTTTTCCTCTATATCTAGAGATGTTTATTTGTCAATGTGTTTATAGTGAATTGAATTGTATGTTCGCTCTGTATGTGAGAATATAATATATTCAGAGGGAATGTATTGTGAATTAGATTTATTTACTTTATAAGACGCGCGTATATTTTTAAATTTTATTGGATGCGGTTTTGTTACATGCACGTGATTTAGTCATAGCTCTATATAAAACACAAATAAATTCGACGAGAGCAAGTAAGCAAAATAAATTTAATGACAATCTTTCTATTATTTTCAAGCATTTCAAACAACATAGGATGAAGGGTAGATTCATTTTGTCAAGACGTTTGCAAAGTCCAGTAGGATGCTGCAGAGACCTCGCACAATATACAAATTATTCATCAGCATTAAACTCTGAATAGATTTAAGCATGTCCGTCTTTCCGTCCGTCTCTTTTAGACATTCTCATGGCCGCAAAAATGAATCTATAGACTTCAAATTTGGTAGAAACAGTGGAACTTCTTAGAAGCAGATTGATAATGAAAATGGATCAAATCAGTCGACGGACACGCCCACAATGCTATATAAGATGAGGACACCTGTTTTTCAAAAGATACAAAGAGTTGGTTTTTCGCTCATTACTCATAAACTATAGCAGATCAGTCTACAAAAATTTGAACTCATATTCTATGAGCGACGTTGTAGCGCTTGTATAAAAATCGAGACTATCGGCCTATCCAAAATTATAGAGTTTCTTAACTTTCTCTTTACGTTTCTCAATACCTTCATAACGCGTAGAAGCCAACTTCAAAAGCCCTTTTTAAACAGTTAAATTCTTGGGTAATTTCAAGTTCAAAATGCACCTAAGCATGTCCATCTGTTAACGAGGTATACAACATATGAAACACGAATATAAGTTTCCTATTTGCCATTCAATTTGATAGACTTCCAAATAAAGGCAACACCGACAGATTTCTTTTAAATTTTTTTTTTTTTTTCTTTTTAATATAAAGTTAAAACTACAATTATTTTTTTTTTTTTTATACAACTTAATAAATGTATGCGGGGATTAAATGTTTGTTTCTTCTTGTTTGAGAGATGAATGAGAGGAAATGGGACGTGACGATAAGAGGGGAGAGAAGAGGGAAAGGGATTTTCGTATTTTTTTTCCTTTTCTTTTCATAATAATAGTATTTCTTTATTAATATTATATCTAAGAGTAATATTGTAATCCATAATTATAATATAATTTTGTTAATAATAATAATAATCAATAATATTTAAAACTAAGCAATTTAAAGATTTTTCATTTGTTGGGTTTTATTTTTCGTTAAAGTGTTTATTTTCTTCCTTTTTTTCTGGGTGGTTATTATATTTACGACAATATTAATTACGATCATAATATTATATATATATATATATACATATATTTATACATATATATACATGTATACATATATATACCTATACATATACATATATACATACATATATATATCTATGTATATATAACATTTTTCTTTTTTTTTGTATATAATTTCCTTCATATTATAAAGTTAGTTCTTGTTTATTTTTGTTTACTTTTTATTTTTTTTTTTTTGTTTGTTTCTTAAGTATAAGTATATATAATTTTGTTTTTTTTTGTTTGTTTTTTATGTATAATCATTTTTCTTTTTTAATTAATAATATTTTTCAATAATTTTACCACTTCAATAATGTTTTCAACCTGTTAACGGTGAATTAAAAACAAAAAGAGAGATAGAGAAAGAGAGAGAGAGAGAGAAAGAAAATTGAGAAAAAAAAAAACAAACTGATTGTTATTAACTGAAAAGTGTTGATCGTGTCAATGTATATGCTGATGTGAGAGAGGGTATGGTGAATATGCTCGTTTAATGAGCTTGCAAGAGACAAAAACGAGATGTGTATTTATGATAGAAAACCAAGACAACTTGTAAAGTGCATGCTTGCGTTAGAAAAAAAAAAGCTTTCATTTTATTTAAATCCTCTTCATATATAGAGGAACTGCTGTGTTGTGTGTGTGTGTTAATGTCCTTCTTTTTTTTTATTAGATGAAGCAGATTTTTCTTTTTTTTTTTACATTACTACTGCTTCCATTTTATTTATTAAATATATTTTTTTAATTTTGATAAATAAAAAAAAGAAAAAAAAAAGTTTAATAAATACTGCATTTAATGACATAAAAAGAAAATATTAAATACAAAAATTAGATTTTCTAATTTTTTTCATTTAGAGCTAAGTTTTTTTTTTTTTTTTTTTTTTTTTTTTTTTTTTTTTTATTGTACACGGGAAAAACAATACATTTATTAATCGGATGCATCGTTATTGCTAATCTTTAATTTTTTTCCGTTTTTTAACATGGTTCCTCTTTACTAATGTTTTCAATGCCTTTATAAACTACACAAGTCCTTCCATACATATACATATACATATATATATATATATATATATATATGTATATATATATATATTCAGATATATATATTTATATGTTTTATTTTCAAAATATATCGTAAGTTAATTTTTAAATATTACAGATTCTAACAGAGAAAAGCATTATAATTAAATTTTCATGTTTATATTTTATAGGAATATGTTGCAGTTGCGCGTATCAATTATTTTCCTTTATTTATTTATATATATATATATATTGATTACCATTTATTTATTTATTTATTTAATTAATTAAACATTAAATTACATTACATATACATTTACTGCTGGGTATAGGAGGCGGGGGAAGGGAGAGGGTCGGAAGTTTTCTATACATATTAGTTTTTTTTCGTTATTATCGCATATAAATAAGTATACGAGTGTATGCGTATGTGTGTGTGTATATATATATATATATATGTTTGTGTTCATATGTGTCTATTTATATATGTATTATGTGCAATGTTAAGTATTCTAACCATTCGTTTGTTTGTCGATTTTCTTATTTTTAATTTATTTTTATTCATTTAATTTTTTTTTTTTTTTTTTTTGTTTTTCATTAATATCGAATTTTTTTCCTTCGCAAGTTTTGTTTCTTTTCTGCCAGGTTCACTAACAGAGTAATAAATAGATAAAGAGATGTACATAAGAGAACCCTTAAAAATTACATTTTTAGTAAGAATTTGCATACTTGTTGTTTAAAGATGTATGTGTGTCTGTGTGGAGAGAGAGAAGTGTTGGATTTTCATTGGTATACTTGTCAGTGGCAACACGTGAATAAATTCGTTGCGTTCTATTTCTTCTTTTTGTTTTTGTTTTAGTTTTCTTTTTTTTTTCTAAACACATTTATACAAGTATGATAATTTTCTATTTTTTTTTTTTTTTTTTTTTTGAAGTTTGCTTTGAGATTTTGTTAATATTTTCTTTTTTATTATTATTATTTACACAGTCAGTTTTAAAATTGAATCACTTGATGAGTGCACGTATAGATGAGACTACAAGAAAAAAAAAAATTGTACAGGACCCACTATATCTCTCTGGTTTAGTTAGATTTGACATATAAATTAAACAACAACAAGAATGAAATGGACATAGTGAGAGAGAGAGAGAGAGAGAAAGTAAGAAAGATACGAAGAAGAAAAATAAGGACAAATATATATATAAATCTATTTCTCTAATTAAAATTATAAATTTTTTCTAAATATTCAATAAAAGAAAAAACTTTTTTTTTTCCTCAAAATTGAGTTAACTCTCGGAAGATAGCAATAATACGTAACAAAGCAGAAAACAAAAAAGAAATCCGTTTATAATTACGAAATAAATAAAATAAGAATTGACAATAACTGACAAATTACTTCTTGATGATAAACTACTAATAACACTTCCTGAAGCACAATACATATTTGAAGCCCTTATTTACATTACACATAAAAAAGAAAAAAATCTTTGAACTTAAAAACAAAATGCATAAAACTTAAAAATCAACATGTTCTCTCAAGTCATGCTGTTGCTGCGATGATAATGACAATGATGATGATGGCGATGCTGATGATGATGATGATGATGATGACGATGATGATGATGATGATGAAGATGATGATGATGATGAAGGTGGTGGTGGTGGCAGATGCATTTGTTGATGCTGCTGCTGCAGATTACTATTGTGACGTGCATATTCACGATGTTGTTGTTGTTGATTGTCATATAAACCGGACGTAGGGGCTGGGGTAGTAATAGCAGTAGCGGCGTTAGTTGAAGACATTGCATGAGAGCGCACATGTTCTAAAATATTACCAGACTGTGGTATAATACCGGACATTGGTGGCGGTGGTGGTGGCGGCGGTAATGCTGGTACAGTCCATAAGTGCGGATGAATTGTGTGGTGTACAGGATTCATATGAGGCATATATAATGGCGATTGATGATGAGCAGCTACGGTTTGCGCGGCTTGCAACATTGTGTACTACGCAACAGCAGCTGTTGTTGCTGTATTGGCAGTAGGAGCTTGAGCCGGCGCTGTCGACGGTGATGGAGGCGGTGGCGCTTGTGATGATGCGACGGTAGAAGCGACAATCGAATTACTATTAAGATTTACATTACTACTGTTGTTGGATGTTAAAGGAGTATTTGTTTGAGTCACAGAACTTAAAATATTACTTTTCAAATGCTCACTCGTCGCTATACTGTTCGAGTGTATATAATTCGCTGTTGCGTTACTATAATTGTTACTAAGATTGTTGTTTTGGCTATTGCAAATATTGCTACTACTGCTGCTATTGTTACTCATGTTGCTTTGAGAACTGACTGCCGTACCACAACTATTACTATTTGTACTACTGTTGCTGACATCATTATATGCAGCTGCTGGTGTTATTTGAGAACTGCTGTTACTATTTTCACTGTCGGCTGAAACCATCACACTGCTAGAAGACGAATTTGATATTATTTTATTACCGTTAATCACGTCCGCCGTCACTAGACCCCCATCGCAGCTGTTGTGTGATATTGAATTTACTGTTTCCGTGGGTTCCATTTTCATTTCAGTCTTCGCAGCGGCATTTGTTGCTTCCTTGCTAATTAACTCTCTACCTGAAGCTTTCTTTTCAATATTTACGGATTTTTGTTGTTGCTTCTGTTGTATGCGGTATTCGAGAGAATTAATAGTAGTTCCAGGGCCTCTCGACACTTGAAAAAGTACCCGTGAGATAATCAATGCCACTTGCTGATCTAGAATGTGAGACATAACCAAACCCAAGAGACGTTGTTCTTGTTGCATAAATAATGAACGATTATCTGGATGCTTCGCTAAATGCAGCAAAGTTCCAGCTGCTCTTCGTAACATATCCAGGCTAGTACCCATCGAATCGGGATTTTCTCGTAGATAATTAATGCCATGCTGGTTGGCTACACCTAATGCAGTTTGTTCGGCCTGTTCTATGAATGCTACCAAATATGAAATACATGGCGATTGAAGCGCTACCGTTCTAGACATTGCACTGTCTGCTGCTGCCAAATAATGCAAGAGATTTACTGAGAATTCGCGTAAGACTTGATCTTCATTGCGACACAAATGTCGTGTAAGGACGGCGCACAATTTTTCAAGCCTTGCGAAAGGAGGAGTTGCTATCACTAAGTCAACATTGTTATCAGTAACACATAATTTGCATAAAGCCTCCAAGGCAAGTCTTTGGGGTGATAATGATGAAGTGGGCCCGCAAGACGGGAAAGGATCCTGGCCGTGAGCACTTGGGCATACAGCCCAGTGAAGAAGGCCATCTACTAAGGGACGTGCTATGAGTTCCTCGTATCGTGTAAGTTCCAAATGTCCCGCTATATTTGCCATAATTACTAACATATTCTCTCGTATACTTATCAAATAATCCCACCACCATTCTCGTTCACCCTGAAGTGAACTGCAAGAATCAGAAAAATCAGTATCCTCTTCGGAGCCACGATCGTAATTACGATTCTTTGGTGGTCGAGGTAAGTGTTCGTGATAGAGTAATAGTAGGCGGCCAAGCACAGCTAAAAATCGCGGTGATTTCGCTAATATCGTCTCGTTTCCAGGCACAAAACTTAAATTGCGGAATATGTTTGAAATGCAAATACAACGTCTGGCAAGAGCGTCCTGGCTTTCATTCACAAGATAGAGACTGGATTCGTCGCGAGTGTAGCACTCATCTTCCAGCGAAGAAGAGGAGCGCCGGCGTTGCAGTACCAATGCAGGATCTCGAGCTGTCGACTTGGGATCAAATTCTTTTGTTGTGTCCTTCGAGCTGCTGATTGTTTCCAATTCCATGTCTATTTCACGGCAGTCACTGTCGGTGTTATTGGAAGTTGCTAACGCCGCCTCCGTTTCTTCTCGACTGATTTCAAGATGCGTTAATGATACTTTTTGTTCCTCTTCCTCCATTGCAGCTTGCAATTTCAATTTCTTGCTTTCACTAGGTTCTCCTATCAGTTGATTGCCGTTGTTGTTATTAGTGCAACCAATCGGATTGCTGTTGTTGAAAAGTCTACGTTTCTTATTAAAAGCGTGTTGTTGTAGACGGGCCTCAACTTCCTCGTCCCTATCACATTCATTCTGACTGTCGTGTTCAGATTTAACAGAGTCAGGTTCTATTTTAATTTTGTGGCATTTGTTACAACTTTTCCCCTTTGTCTTGATATAGCGAGCAAATGGAATGTCTATAATTTCTGATTTGAACACGTCAATAATGCCCGCATTGGTGTCCGGGTCAGTAAAGCCATACGTCCAAGCATTGCAACCTACTGGGACGCTTTCTTCAAATTTCTCTCCGCCCTCAGCGTCCCAGGGCTTTAAGTCATCTATCACGAATATGTCATGTTCAGCAGACTGCAATCTAACAGGCAATCCTTTACGTGACATCATTGTATAATTGGGTGTATGAGCTAACAGGACAACGCGTTCTTCAGGATTAGGAGGTACTCGAACTTGACCCAGATCGATATCTTCATCTTCATCCGTTTCTTCATTATCAGAAGACCCATCAATTTTAGCGTTCTTTAAATCGTCCATAACAGCAGCCTCTCGATTTCGCTTTTCATTACGCAAATAATTTGACCTCGTGAGTCTTCTCTTCTCGTTCTTAGGTCCAGCGAAAGGCTTATCCTCGTCTCCTTCATCTTTAAACATTGCGGCGAGATTCTTTTGAAAATGTTCTAATAATAGTGTTAGCAGGCCGGGCAAATGGCTCAAACCAAAATACTGAACGGTGGAATCGTCAAATAACAACACGTTCAAAACGTCTAAAGACCAAGTGCACTCCGTCAATAGACCAGACCGCATCGCCATGAAAATTCGCCAAGGATCAACCGGGCATACGTCAGTTTTTGTTAATCTTTTTCGTCTGTACAGTACCGGACTAGTGGCTTCAACGCTGTCTGGAGGAAAGACAATCTCTTTCTTGGCGAACTGTGGGAAAGGAGCTTGTGGGGGTGGCGGAGGAGCCCCAACAGCACCGGAGCTTCCGACGGGGGTCACCGGTTTCTGGGCTACACTCATCACTCCGGCCATAGCGTTTGATCCTGCTGGGACTGGAACGCCTGCACTGCTAGTCTGGGGTGGTGGCATAGAGAACGGCGGTTTTCCCAAGCTACTAGAAGGCAAACCGGTTGGAGCATTGCTAGTAGTCGGGGGGGCCAACTTGTTGTCCTGGCTGTGGCCCTGGTGATCCTGATATGCTAGCAGCTGCGCTTGCTGGTATTCGTTGTTGCTGACCAGTAGCTGGTGATCTTAGGGGTGAACCAGATGTACCAGCTGAAGGCGCACCCGGCGGATTCGCACCGCTTGCACTCATTGCTTGTGCCCATTGAGGTGGTGGTGGCTGTTGCTGACTTTGTTGTTGATAAGGTGGCTGCTGTTGGGGAGGTGGAGGTTGCTGTTGAGGGGGATAACGGTGCTGATCCCATTGAGTCGTACCAGCAGCTGTAGGTGCTTGTTGGCCAGGTGGCCCTAGGGGACCTCCAGCTGGTGCGGCCGTTCGCGGTGGAGCTGAGCCCCAAGTTTGCGGAGAAGGAGTTGAAGGATACTGACTTCGATACTGATTAGAGCTGCCTTGCCAACCACCTATGTAAGAAAGGAACAGGATTTATTAATAAACTATCTTCTAAAATGTACATCAATAAGATCTACCATAAATTTGTGGTCGAGCACTATAGCCAGGATATGGCTGTGAGTCTTTAACGAAATCTGGATGTCGCCTTGGTTGCGGACTCTGCATAAAAAATGAAACTTAAACTATAACACGTCTGCTAAATCCTAGCTAATACAAATCACTTACCTGTTCTGGAGGTCGATAATATTCTTGTTGGCCGGGAGGGTAAGGACTACCTCCTGTCGCTGGCCCACCTGGACCTGGTCCTGATGCACTGCTTGGAGCTACTGGTGGTGTTGATGTTTGCGAACTACCAGGTGGAGGCTGACTGTACGGACGATTACCGTATGGGCCATATTGGTTTGAACCAGTTGGAGGTCTATTGTCATATGAAAGGATAGAAAATAAAAAAATCTAAATTAGAACAGTTTTGAAAGGTAGTAATATAATATGGATAAAATGAAGTGAGTAAAGTGTTAAACAATACAGTTCGTGAAAGTGATAAAACTGTATTAAGGAGAATAAAATGTTTAAATGTTGCACTCACGCTTCTCCCTCGGGTCCGTAGGGAGGATACATGTTGCGATTTTGGGGAGGAAATTGTCCTTGTTGTTGACCAAATTGTCCGGCTTGGCCAGAGGCATTATATTGATCGCCTGAGCCATATTGGCCGTAAGCACCAGGCTGACCGGGATATGGAGAACCTAGAATAAAAGTTGAATACTTTCAGTAATGTGTGCGTCTCGTGTTTACAAAAAAAATAAAAAAATCAAAAATAAAATTTCACAATTTTTAACAGAAAATATATGAGATGATAAATTTAATTTTAAAAAAAGAATAAGTGATCCGAAATCGATAGATAGAGAGAAATCTTTAGTACTTTGTTAGATGTTAAAAAGAAAACAATTATGAATCAATTTGAGTGATATATACCTGGTGTTCGAGACACCGGTGGCGGATATGGCCCTCCAGGGGGATATGGAGGTCGTGATGCGGGAGGTGGTTGTGGAGGACCGCTATTGCTGTTAGCATTTGTAGCTGCGCCAGCGCCTCCACTACCGCCACTACTACCACTGCCAGCAGCACCAGGGTTAACACCACTATTGCCACCCACCGGCTCATCAAATGGATTATTGACACTTATGTTATCACCAACAGATTGCGCTGCGGTGTTTTGTGTATTACCTTTAGAACATCATCGACCGACCCCAAAAGGCAATTATTTACAAACCGAAAGCCAAATCAATTGCATAAGAACGTTTGATGTAATGCATCAAAGATGAATTTATTGGATAAGTTATGATATAATGTATTTTAAATGTATTTATTGTTGTTTTCATTTGGTTTGTGATAGTGAAGATCATGATGTTTTATTATTGGTGATGGCGATGATGGAAGTGTTAAATAATTTTTTAGAATATGTAAAAAAAAAAAAATGTTAAAAACAAAAATAAATAAATAAAATGGTAAGTAAAACACAAATAAAATAGTAAACAATAATATATAAAATGTACAATATGTATATTAAGGCAATTAAAGTAACTTACCTGGATGCGGACTTTGAGCATTACTCTGCGAAGGTGGTCGAGGCATTTGACCAGCGGCACCATAGTCGGGTTGTGGACCAGCGCCAGGATAACCACCTGGATAAGGTGGATAACCGTCAATTGAAGCGTTTGCGGCAGTGCCCGGGGCTGGAAATGCATCTTGGGAATTCGAAGAGCCAGCTATATAAAGTAATATAAAAATTTATTTTTATGAAATTTATCTTAAATATCGTACTTTACTTTGTAAGCCAATATATATACCTGGCGAGGGCACTGATGCAGCTTTGGTTGATTTCTTTTTGGTACCCGCTTCTACCTGCTGTATGATGGGCAAGGGATCGATATCTCCACGATCATAATGACATTCAAAAGCCAACAAATTTTTGGTATAATGTTTGCGCAAGGTGTAGGCGGCACTACTGCTAGCACCAATACCCAAAAGACCAGCAATATCTTTCCATGTTTTACTTTTTGTCACCTTTAATATATTATAGAAACAAATCCGTCAGTGCAACGTTTTAATTTCTTTTTTTTTTTTAATAACATCAATAAAACTTGAGGATGAAAAAAAACGTAATATTAAAATATATTAAAGTTATTATTATATATACAAGCAGAGATAAAGATAAATAAAAAGCTTCACATATAGATATGTATATATAGGAAAGTGTATCAAGAGAATGAAAAAAATTCGAGTGTTTATGAACAAGCAATCACTTGTTATAACAAGACCTTCTGAATTTTATCATGCAGTTTTAAATTAATTCTTAAAACAAGAACATTTTTATGATTTTATTTTTATTATTAAAAAGGAATCAAGCAAGATATGTCTCTATATTATAACAAGTGATTGAGAATCAATTAGAAGAAAATCGATTTGAATTAAGTTCAGTCCGAGCAACTTTAACTTTACCGCTTATATGCATTTTGTGATTGTGTGTTCCAAGATATGAGTTAAGGAAAAAGAAAATTTTACCAATAATTTCTACTACTTACGGTCTAATATTTGCCATATATGTTACACTACGGGGGAATCAAGGATTGTGAGGGACATACTATTCTGGAAACGATTACGGGAACGTTTACGGATTTAATCAGTCTACGATTGATCAAACCACGAAAATTATCTCAACCAAAAAACCAATTTCAAATTAAAACAAATATATTTTAAATGAGAAATGAATTGAAAGTGCAAACATGCCAAAATGATGGAAAACTGTTTTAAGAGTATTTTATGTATCGATATATTGGAAAAAATATTCTTTTTTACTTAATCGCGCGGTCGTTTTTTAAAATTTTTACAAATCCGAATTAAATTTGTTTTTTTTTTTTTTGTTTTTCTTTGGTTGGGTGATGGTTGTGGTGGTAGGTAGGCATTGCTAGGTCTTAATTGGGTTTGCTAGTAAATCTAAAAAGAAGTTAGTAAAAGGAAGTTTTCTACGGCACCTTGCATACCTCGACGAATCCGCCTCGGTCTTTAACATACAAATACAACCTATATAGATCGAGTGGTTGCTTCGATATCGTGGGGCAGGCGGTAATCGGTGTGCGGCGCTCATCCATAAATGCTCGTAACTTATCTAACCAAACATGTCGTTCAGGTGCGTCGTCCATTTCGTATAGTTTACAAAGACTGTCCGATTTTTTGTTGGCAGCCGATGCAGAAATGGGTGTCGCAGTGGCTCCAGTTGTCCGGAACGTATCTTGTTGAGGAACATGGCTGTTGAAACCCTGACCAAGCATATAAAAGCTTTTGATTAACATTATCAATATTAAGAATATCATATGTGCACTTACGGGGCTTGCCGGAGTTCTTGCCCAATTTGGCGGTGAACTCATTTCATATTCTTCACCAGGGACTCCAGTATGGCCCGCGTGCGGCCCAGTACCAACCATACCTACTGGTGACGTGCTCGGTGGTGCTAAATGACTTTGAACATATGGATCGTTTTTGCGCGACTTCGGGGTTGTACATTGTGGATCTTCACCAGAAGCTAAATAAAATTTAAGTAAAAATCCATTCTGTTCACTAGCAAAAATGTAATTAAACGTACCTGCTGATGCATTCGATAATGTACTTTGCTGGCTAGCTTCGTCCATAGGAGTTCCATCGGGTCCAGTGGTTACTACCGAAGTTACAGGATGTGGTGGCCCTGAAGCGGAACTTGAGGAGCCCGAAGAACTTATGCCATTATCTTGCGAAATGTGATCTGGCGGCGGTGGTGGACCGGAGTTTCCCTCCGGAGTTCCCACTGCGCCGCCCATCATCGGTTGTGGCGGTGTACTAGTAGGCGGACCCATATTTGTGGGCCCATGGGGCGGTCCCATGTGGTGTGGTGGACCCATCGGCATGCCGGGATGCATACCCGGACCATTGCCGTAACCTTGAGGAGGACCTGTTCCAGGGCCATAACCGCCTTTATGTTGCAAATGTTGCTTCAAATAGTTCAGAGGCCGAGAGGATCCACCACTCTGAGGTGGTGGTGGTGTACCCTTGCTTTGTATGTGATTACCCATAGGAGCACCGCCAGGAGTTCCCGGCGCACCTGGTGGTACAGAACCCACGTTAACTGGACCCCCTCCTTGTCCACTAGGAGGTACCCAATTTTGATAAGCTGGATACGGCGACCCACCGCCATGATTAAGTATGGGCCGCCCAGCGGCATATTGTTGCGGTCCGCTACCAGGTGGCATACTATTGACAGACGAGGGTTGGCTAGAATTTGGAGGTGTTGGCGCGTAGCCACTTGGTGGATATTGAGGTCGTGGCGGGTAGCTCCCTTGAGAGTATTGTTGAGCCTGTTGAGAAGGTGGTGGCGGATAGGCTGAGAGCAACGTTTGTGGGCCAGGATTCTGGCCTCCCATTTTATAACTGCCATGCATATGGGGTGGCAAGGGATAAATATTGCTGCCGCCGGATCCTTGGGGTAGAGGTTGAGATGACAAGTTACTTACATTTTGATTTGGGGGTTGCGGAGGTTGTTGAGAACCAGGCGGGCCACCAGCAACACTTCCTGGCGGACCTTGCTGCGGTGAATTGCTTGATACTGAATTAGAATTTTGAGATTGCTGTTGGGATGTCGCCTGAGAAGATGTTGGCGGTGGCCCACCGCCTGGTTGCTGCATAGGGCCACTACTCGATTGATTGCTCGAGGGACGAGAAATGGGATGATTTTGTGCTATAAATTTTTAATTGAGTTGAACATTAAGTTAGAAAATTGCATTGTCTGATATAAATTTGAAATCATTTATTAGGAGGAAACTTACCTACTGCCGGCGACATGGAACGAGACCCTGAGGAGCCAGTCGGGGAAGGTGTAGGACGCATTACTTGTTGTGAATTAGGTGTGCCCGGCGGCCCGGAACCCATACCGCTATGTCCGCCACCGCTAGAGCTATCATTACTGTTTTGGCCGATTAATTCCTACAAAAATCCAAAGCATTATATAAGTAAATAAGGTGGCAAGCTCATTAATACATTCAGATGCGGCTTTCTGTACTTTGTATAAATTCTCAAAATGCTCCCAGGGCAGAACTTTATTCATATTGTCTGTTTTTGTGTTTTGAGATTTTTTTTCTCAGCAACTATTTTGTTTTTATTATTATTTGTATTCTAGTTTTTCTGATACCTTTTTTCCAGTTTTCTTGAGAAAATTTTACATGAAAACAAACAAAAAAATTTTTTTTTCTCTGTTTTTTTTTGTAAGTGTGTTCAGAAATGGAATGCAAAATAATTTTCAGTTTGAAATAAGGAAAATTCTATTAGAAAATAAGAAAACATTGTATAGAAATATTTGTCATTTTTTTTTTTTATCCAAAACAATGTTTTTAAACAAGTAAAATTGTAGAACACATGCGTATGTGTGTGCTTGTGTTAACATTAAGGAAAGTTAAAAGTTAGGAAAATATTGCAATGAAAGGACGATTTTTTTACATGAAGTATGGTTGTGTAAAGAAAAGAAGTTTGAAAAGTAGTCAGCAATTAAAGCTTATTTTGCATTGCATTGCGCAACGAATTGCGAGGAGGTCATTGGATTGTTCGAAAAGTCACGGTTTTTTTTTGCTCAAAATAATAGATAAATTCTACGTGATCGTGAACGGTTGAATTGAAGAAATTCAAACTCCTACCGACCTCATGTCAAATAATGCCTTTGTTCGAAATTTTCTAAACCCGTTTTGGCGGTGTCGTCGTTGTGGTGGCGCATCCTATCTATACATACACAATATTTCTTTTTCACGCTTCACGAGCATTTTCACCTTTTCGATAGTAAAAAAAGTAAAACATACTGGAAATGGTGCTGTTAACTATATCTTTGAACATATTGGATGACGCAACAAGCGAAAATTCTGGGTGGCCTTAAATTTCTTCATAAACAACCTTCGCCATATCAGGTGTCAAAATGCACAACGACAATGGACATATGTATAAAAGCGAAATGACTTTCTGAACCCATTAGAAACTCTGAAAACGGCAATAAATAATTTTCAAATTAAGTCATTCTCGTTGTCCAATAAAAATCCTATAATGATTCCTTCTGTGATAATTACTGAACTGATAGTGATGATCAATTATGCATGGATTATGCAGACGCAACGTAATGCACTAATAATTTGCAAATAGTCTTAAGTTTAAATTAGTTATAAGTTGTCTCTTTCTCGCATGTATTCATACGTATGCTTATTGTAGTCGTGGCTTTAAAATGCATGCAGCACATGCATTATTACTCTTTCGTTCTTCAGCCATCATAAAAGTTCGGTCGTTTTAACAAGCAAAATATTATAATTAATTGAATTTTCAAAGAAATTCAACCGTCAAATTCGTCTTTTATTCTTGTTTTCTGTTTTGTAAGTGTAATTTTGAATTCCATTCGTTACTACGGATACAAAATATTGGCGCAAAGAAGCTTGCCTCATACACGTATTTCTTAATGAATTAGGAACATGAATTTAACAATTAGAAGTGATTACCTATATGCATCTTCACAATATAGAAGAAAGTGAAACAATCTCGGGAAAACCCTGCCTTGTCACCTATAACTTTCAATCTCGTGATGTTTTCAGAAAACCTGCTACGCAATGATTCACCAGAACCACTTGCTTGCTCGACCCAAATAAACATGATCCCAATCATTTTGCAAATAAGGATAAAGCCTTAACTTCAATTTACTTATCATCTGTATTGTATTTGGATGAAGAACACGCTAACATACAGTGGATTAAAAAGAAAATGACATTAAAATTTTATCCTTAATTTTGGATATATTGGTAAGACACTCGGAATCATTTTTTCAACAATGCTAATGAATATCTAGATCGCAGCTTTTCGAAAATATCTTTACAGGATTGTAATTTATGAACGAAAATAATGTCTGTGTTTTTTCGAGGTCCTTCCAGTTTCTAACCAGTTATGGGCATGCATGTAAAGCGATAACAATCGTTTTTTTTCAATCAATCGATCACGGAATGTTTGCGATAAATTTTAGCTCCTTATCTTCATTTTTGCAACTGCAAGGAATCAAAATGATCTCTTCTGATAGAAATAGGTATATGCAATACATTGGCAGTTCTGGCGTTAAGAAAAAGCCAGATAGGAATAACTAAAATAGGTTTAGGGCGTATTAATAATAATATCAACCAATAGCAAAATAATACCTATTTTATCTCGATGTATATATTATTATTGTTTGAACATCTAACATCTATGTTTTCTAGATGTAGTAAGTGGGCAGATTCGACTATACATGTGGCTTTGGTGATGTTCAGGTTGCGGAAACTTTCGAGACAAAGCAGGCATTGTATTGTATCAATGAAAAGAACAATTATCCAAATAAATTCTAAGGCTAAAGTCTTAAAGCACCAGGCTTGTGCTAAGGCTATCGGTTTGTTGAAACCTCTCTCGCACTTGAGATTTGAAATGACGACTATTGAATGGTTAGTCGAAAGCCTTTAACTACTCGGCCGCACAGATCCATCTGTAGTTTTTTATTGAGAAATATTGAAAATCGCAAATTATTTTCATATAACGACTTCTTCAAAGTCGAACCTCATCTGCTTTGTGATCATAAAAATGTTCCGATATAACGAATTTTTAAAGGAGGTCGACCTTGAATGTAAATTAAACGTTGGTTACTTGAAGTGCGCACATTTTCAACGGAAATGCTTTATAAGATATATTGGTCCTGCTTATAAGCAAATCGTCTTAATTTTTAAATTTGATCTTGACGAATTCCAATACTTTTCACTTTCTATCTTAATGGTCGCAATATTGAACACATCAATATTGAAAAATAAAAAAAAAAAATTAAGTCTCATTTGTATATGCCTCAATTTTTTGATTTTGATAACAATTCTATACTGCACTATAATATCTGACTGTTCTGCTCTAAATATTATTCAATAAATGAGACAATGTTACGTTACATTAACCCACATCTTAAGATATAATAAACACGTAATAAATTATAAAAAATAATCACGTGCTGGCGTATAGTGACTCACTTTTAATAATGCGATAGAGTATAGCAACAACAGCAGTAGCAGTAGCAAGACTAACCATTAAAGTTCAATGGCCACAACAAATCAATTAAAAAGTATGATGTAAAAAAAAAATGAAAATTAAATAAATACCGAAATGAAAACGAAAACAAAAAAAAAACAAAAATTTGCAACGAATTTAAGATAAAGATAATTACTATAATGATGCTCATCATTAGCATTGATGACGCACGCTATCAGTGCTCAGAGCACAAAAAAAATCTACAAAATGTGATTAGAATACAGATTATAAAGTGGAATATAGTCGCATATAAATATATATATATATATATATATCTGTATATACATATATGAATGATAAGACACCAAGTGAAGAGCATTATTAGTACACAATTAACCAATTACGTGCCGAATTTAACTTATATATACCAAATAGACAACGTGTACTACGCTGGGTACTCGATATTTTACTTGGTCAAGGTAAATAGGGCGATTAAGATTATATTTTCTCGCTTAGTTTATCCAAGCTGTGATTCAATGAATCAATTTTGCTAACTTTAGATCAACGAAAGCCAGGCAGGCAAACGCATACTAAATATGTACCGGTTGCATTGAAAAAGAAAACGGCTGATATTTTATAGTATTTCTAGACTCAAAGGCCAATATAAAAAGTTGGTATGACATAAAATCTTAACGTGTCACTCGATGGCGTCTACGGCGTATTAATACATCAAACTGAGAAACATGTTTTACTCATCCTTAGTCTTCGTTAATTCGTCGTTAATTTTCGTTCTTCGAGCAAATATATCGTAGTATACGGCTTTTGAGATAAGTTTATGCAATAACAAGAAATTAAAATGATATTTATTTACTCCAGCTTGTATACATATAGAATTGTGAAATTAACGGCACAAGGTTAGCTCGATTCAGTTGACTTAATATAAAAATTTGATTATGAAAAAAAAATTTAAAAGAACATTTAAAAGCATGAATTAAAAGCTGTTCCCCTCTCACCAATTTTAATCCCAATTTCGAGCTTTATAATATTTGGAATGAGTAAAGAGCCATACTTTCATTAATTTTTCGCATTTAAGAAGAGAAAAGTAGTGATAAGAAAAATTCGCGACCAAATTTTGAATTGGTACTTGTGACTTCAACGAACAGGTCACTATTTAGGCGGAATAAAAACAATTTTACTTTACCAAAACAAAATGCTCAATTGCCGTCTTTAAAGGAGCACATATATCAAGTTTGTGCAGATATACAGAACACCCAGAAGGACTTAAGATAGGACACCATTTTCGTTATTATGCAGAATGTGAATCGATCTAAGCTTGTTTGTCCGTCTGTCCGCCTCAAGCATGCAATTGCGTTTCATTTACAGATCGCAATTTTTGGAATATTTTGATGGATTTTGTACATGTGCTTGTTTTGGATCAAAGACGAACGCTATTGAAATCGGTTCGGACCATTTTCCACTACATGGCTAAATGTATTACCACATTCGCGAGGGTAAATGTTATAGCATTTAAATTTTTAAGCCAATCATTTTTATTTTATTTTACATAACTTTAATATAGTAACAATAAACAGTTGAGAAATTGAATCTGTATCATAGTGGATGTTATGGCACTCACAGTATATGTATACAATTATATTGCAGTTACTTTTACAAAATATTTTTAATCAGTTTTCGACTGTCACAACTAATTTTAAAATAAATTGATATAGATCGAAGGTATTTTTAGGAAATCTTTCATCCATTAAGTCGTAACATCTACCACAATTAATTTAGAACTAACGCAACTAGCTTCTCGAATTCTAACCTCGAATTTCTTTTATTTGATTCTCATATTACTGGTACTATTAAGAAAAAATTAATCCACCATGTCGCGATATTCATTTTAGAATTAATCCCTTTTTTGGCAG